CCTTCTTCTCCCCCATGGTCCTCCGTTAAGTGCCTCCTAATCCTCCTATACGTGCAAACATATGGTATCTGTCCTTCTCTGCCTGACTTATTTCGCTCAGCATAACACCCTCAAGGTCCATCCATGTTGCTACACATGGCCAGATTTCATTTTTTCTCATTGCCATGTAGTATTCCATGGTATAGATAAACCACATCTTCTTGATCCATTTGTCCATTGATGGACACTTAGGCTCTTTCCATGTTTTGGCTATTGTTGAGAGTGCTGCTATGAACATTGGCGTCCATATGCCCCTACGCATCAGCACTCCTGGACCCCTGAATCCAAGTCTTCTAATTCTGAAATCTTACAGTTTTTTTCCTACACTACACTGGTTTTCCATGAAAATTCTCAATGCTTAACTGAAATATTCAGGTGTTCCTAGAATGATTTTTTGTTTTATCAATAGTTTCACAACTGTTGACTTTACTACTGATAAACTAAGTGTAGTTAGTGTAGGTGCATGGAAAACAAAGGCACAGAATGATATAGGGCTGCATTATGGTCCTGGTGAGGTTTTTGCTAAGTTCAAACTACAGCACTCACATTCTTAAGGAGGAAAGGCAAAGTTGAAAAATAGGTAAGGTGATGAAAATGAATACAGATGAAGCACTCTGTGGAACATCTCTGGGGCTGAAGAAGCTGCAGGGGAGAGGGAATAAGAGTGGGTGAAGGACACATGCAGTATTTAAACCAGAGACAATCTTTCATCTCTATCATTAGTTATTTTCAATGATATTTTCAAGTATCCATCTGCCCATTTTCAGTTATTTCTCCACTTCAGGTTTGGAAAGTTCCTCTAACTTATCACCTCTGCTGTCAGTGAGAATGAATCAGTTTTCTTCTTCCCTCACCAGAAGTTCTACAATTACCCCCGTTCCCCCCTCACCCCCCCCCACACACTTTTAGGGAATTTCTTAGGAGGACTGTCTTTAACATAATTGCTTTTCTTAGCTCCCCAAGATCTTGACCTGAAAATTCTTTCATACCTATAGCTTGATCATTCCCTAGCTGTAGATAAATATACCTCCAATTCTGATCCTTTGGAATCACCATCTCTTAAACTGCTACCCTAGCTTCTGAGTTCCTCCCTTCTATCATGCTTTTCCTGTGAGTCTTCTATTTCTACTCCAGCTGATGACTTCAATTCTCTAGTTGCCACAGGATTTCAGTGAAAAAAACTCAAAAAAGTTCAAGAGTTATACTAGTGTCCATAGGTTTCTGGAAAGATAGGTCAACAAGTATAAATTTATTATAAAGCTAATGTATACAAAGACATTGCTTATGATATCACTTACTTAAAAATATAAAAAATAAAAATGCATCATATTTCTCTGAATTGTAACTGGATAAGGTAATAAAACACCCAATTTTGTTTTCCTGGAAATTTACATTCGCAATATTATACTGATTAATATTATATATGATGCAAAGACTAAAACTCACCAAAAGTTTTACTGATAAAGGAATAAGGTAAATAAATCACTGGTGTTAAAAAGCAGCACTAGATTTGTAAAAGAGAACAGGAATTGCAGAAAAAGGCTTCTGCAGTTGAGTTATTGTCATCTAAAAATTAAGTAACCATGAGTTCCTATTTATAATTATCACATAAAAACTTGGACTAAAGGCCTCTTTACAGGGCTCTTCCATTTCCAAAAAAGAAAAACATTTCATAGCTCATAAAATAAGATAGGGAAGAAGCATCAGGAAAGGTAAAAGACCTTTCCTTACACTGTTCATTTTATATTAGTTCCTAAGGTTATAAGCCTACTAAATGAAAGGTGGAATGGTACTTGTATCTTGGATTTAACTCAATTTTAAATACCATCAATCTAGTATAATTTCTTAGATTTAGCTTAAGAGGCTGAAAAGTGAATGATGGTCTAAAACATGGAGATTAGGTATTTCAGTCCGTAAGAAACAAAAGCACAGTCATTTATTATTTGGGACTCTTAGGAGGTCATTATGCATTAATTTAAAATTACTACAACTTGACACTTTATAAAGACTAGAAACATAATTCAAAATTTCATTAAGGTATATTATATTAAAACCACTTTAGACAATTCAAGATCTCATTGGCAAGAGTTCATTTAAGGTGATAGCTTTACTATTGTGTTATTATTGTTCCCACATGATATCATCTCTTCTCAATTTCATTTGAAGATTATGGACTTGTACTGGATGAAAGTTGCTGTTCTTCTGAAGAGAGTTAGTTAGTAAACATTTTCTGGGGCTATTTTTTATGTTCTTTGATCCTTTAGGGTTGTTATCTTCTTGCTGAATACCTGAAGCTTCACTTATCTTTGAGTTTTGAACTTTTTGCTGCAGTTTACGGACCTGGAGAGAAAAAAAATCTAACATTTTAGTAAAAAAGATTAAAAAAATACTCTAAAATGGTTTGGATTGACAGTTTAAAGGTTACATGAAATTAAAAAGTTCACTAAGTCTTTATTTAATTCTTATCATATGCCTAACACTATGCTAGTTAGGTAGAACTATAATGAATAAAACAATCCTTGCTCTCAAAAAGCTTACAGCTTTTGTTAGTGAAAGAAAAGCATACACGTGACAAGTAGAGAATAATTCAGGCTAGGACAACTCTGGGAGGGACAAAGGTGTTTACTTGAGAAGGGGAAAGTAGGACAAGATCAATGTTGACTGAGAGGATCAATGAGAAGCTGAGACGAAGATATAAGGGATATGAAATGAGTAAAAACTGGAGAACAGAGATAAGAGAAAAGGACCTTTCAGGAATGAACACTGAATTTATAGAGATGAGTGTGTATATACATATTTTACTTAAAAGTATTCCTCAATTTAAAGTATTACTGAATGCCAGCTAAAAAATAAAGTCTCACTGGGTGGTATCTGGTAACAGTTGGTGGAATTAAATGAAAACAAAACCTGTCAACTAGCCAAAACCCATTTCTGTCAAACCCAGTCCACTATTCAGTCTATTTCACTTATGCATGACCCTAATTTGTAGAGCTGATCCAGACATTGGCTAAGAATGTGGTATCTGTGGGGCGCCTGGGTGGCTCAGTCGGTTAAGTGTCCGACTTTGGCTCAGGTCATGATCTCGCGGTTTGTGGGTTTGAGCCCTGCATTGGGTTCTGTGCTGGCAGCTCACCAGAGCTTGTTTTGGATTCTGTGTCTCCCTCTCTCTCTCTGCCCCGCCCCCGCTCATGATCTGTCTCAAAAATAAATAAACTTAAAAAAAAAAAAATGTGGTATTTGTCCAAGGCCATTTAAATTGCAGAGATTACATTTATTATGATAAAATGCTTGAAAATTTATATTGCTATAACTGTTATAGAGCATAAATAATACTTTTTCAAAATTTATGTGTGTTAAAAATATGACTATTTTTCTATTCCCTTCGAATTTCCCCTAAGAAATTCAAAGAAAGGGTATGTTATATAATATTCACCCTAATACAATCATACAAAAAAACTTATTTACTATAGCCTTAAAAGCTAGTAAAGTGAAAATATTTACTTCAAATGTTTCATTTCCTCTTTTTCTTTTTATTGTTCTTAGAAGAATAAAAGCAGTAAAATTCTGAATCCTTTATTACTTTCCTATAAAAGCGGGGAAGGCTGAATTGTGAGGTTAATATATCACCAACTTATATGAATGCTGACTATTCTATATAGGCAGATAGCTACATGATGTGATTTGAGGGTTCCTGGAAAGACTTCCTCCACCTTCTGCTCCAGCAGGGTAATAGCGCTAACAATCCAACCTATGGAATCACTGTCTTGGGATAAAATATTACAATATTCCATGATTATTCTGTTGAAATATTAACACTGTTATGCCATTTTTAGCTATTAAACATTCACATGCAAAGACAGAGTTCCCCTTACCACCACACTAAAGCTATCGAAGCACAGGTCCCCAGGGAATGGAACACAGCCTAACTTGTTCCAGGTAAGTAGAAACAATGGTTTTAGCATTAGAGTACTTCTTGAGGAGCCAGGTTTATGTATCATACTGAAATAGAGACCTGTCAACAGAAGAGGCTTCATTAAGGTATTAGGGGAGAGAGAATTAAAGGGAAAGAATGTTAAAAGGGTAACCAAGAGGGCTGCAAGGCAAATTTGGTCTCCCTCAAAATGTTCCCAAGGCCATTTTTTGAATACATAAATAAACATTCTTGTTCCCCCTATTTTACACTTATCTTGGAGAGTTACGTAGGAGGTCCTGTTATTCCAAGGGGACAGATGGCTCTATAACAGGCCTAAGTGATTTCTGTCATCTTTTCACTAAGCCACACATACAGGCCTCAAATTTGAAAGACCATACAGAGATATAACATTGACTCCAGATATATTATCTTTTTATTAAAATCTTTAACTAAAGCCTTCTTACATTATCTTGATGCTTCATCAGTTTGGAAATTTGTTCTTCTTTAATTTCCATTTTCTTGACTAAATGCTCTAGTTCACATTCTATGTCTTCACAGACTGAAGGACTTTCAGTTTCCTTCATTTGATTCAGTAATTCTTTGTGCTCCCTATGAAAGAAAAGCAAATATCAAGTACTATTAAGGTTTATACTAAATGTCTTTGATATAATTAAACAATATTCTGTTTAATCATAAATTTTTGCCAGTTAAATATTAATCTTCAAAGACAGTCTCTTTATGTAGGGTTATCTACAGTAAATATAAAAGGATTTTGTGGTTTGAGATTAGATAAATTTAGAAATATCTTGGACTTAGGGTCTTAAAGAACCTTAGAATAAAATCCAAAGTTTTGATACAAATGTTTTGTAATAAAACATTCTGATATCCTTAGCTGAAAGCATTAAAGGACTCTCTTTAGTTCCAACTCTGGAATTCTTAATATAGGGTGTTTAGGAAGAATTCCAGCTGTAAAAGTATTTGCCTGAGAAATCCCTAGATTTGGTGATAGCCCAGTCAAAGAAATACTGTCAAGAGAACTAGTTATATCTTCTACAGAGGTCTTAGTTCAACTAGCTGGCTACTCAAATCTCATATTTTCTGGGATTTTTGTTGAATACATATTTAAACTTGGGGCTTAAAATATGTATCCTATACAGAATCTTGTTTCAAAAGTTACAATGCAGAGCAGTCAGAGTTTAAAACAAGACATTGCTTTGCTACCTGACTAATGAAATGTGGCTTAATTAAAAAGATTATTTAAAAAAAGGAGAATCTTTCTTTCTTTTTTTTTTATATATTTTTATTTTATTTCTAGGAGAGAGAGAGAGACAGCGTGAGTGGGGGGGGGGGGGTCAGAGAGAGAGGGAGATACAGACTCTAAAATAGGCTCCAGGCTCTGAGCTGGCAGTCAGCACAGAGCCCGACGCGGGGCTCAATCTAAGCGAGATATCTAACCGCGAGATCATGACCTAAGCGAAAGCCGGATGCTTAACCAACTAAGCCACCCAGGCGCCCCAGGAGAATCTTTCTTATAAAAGCATTTGTGAGTTATAATTTAAGGTCACTAGACCCTTTGTTAGAATGACAGTAATAATTGTCTATCAGTTCAGATCTTGGGAATACAGAAACTCCTTAGATTGGAAAAGTAGCAATTATACACAGTTGAAAATTTAAATACTACCAGTAAATACAATGAGAAATCAGTGACAACAACTCTGCAGATAGAAATAAATCCCGATCTAAGCAAGGCCTTTAAGAATTCATAAGTGGCATTGTGTAGCTACATGGATGGACCTTGAGGGTGTTATGCTGAGCGAAATAAGTCAGGCAGAGAAGGACAAATATCATATGTGTGCACGTATAGGAGGACTAGGAGGAACTTAACAGAGGACCAATCGGGAGAAGAAGGGGGGAAATGGTGGGGGAAAGGGAGAGAGGCAAACCACGAGAGACTCTTGAATGCTGACAAAAACTGAGGACTGATGGATGTGGGGGGGAGGGGGGATGGGCATGGAGGAGGGCACTTGTGGGGATTAGCACTGGGTGTTATGTGGAGACTAATTTGACAATAAACTATTTGTAAAAAAATAAATAAATAAATATGTGACCTTTGACCCTGAAAAAAAAAAAAAGAATTCATAAGTGGCATTGTTTTTAAGACTGAGAAGAAAAAAGATATCTTCATATTTTGCTATTTCTTCTGACAAAGAGTAAAAATACTTACATACTCATTTGGCCCAGCTCATCCTGCATTGCCATCAAAAGTTCGGACAAATTGTCACAAATAGAAAGGGAATTTTTTGAGTCAGAATGTTCAGCTTTACACTGGGCAGTTGTTCTAGAAGGCTCGTAGAGACATCTAGGCTCGGTAACTTCAGTAGGTTTCTGAAGGATATGGGGCCCATAACGCTGCATCATCTGCAGGAGGCTTTGCATACTTCTATTCACAGAACATCCTGCACTGGCAGACTTCAGGGGAAAAGAAATAGCTGAGAACGATTTCAAATGACTAATGGCATTTAAATAGCACTTACAACAAAGCAGGAGTGTGTCTGAACAAGTATCTTCAATTTTTCCCCTCTCACCTTCTCAGCCATATTAGGCAGTGATTCAAACTTTGAATAAGTTTGCTGATGTGATCCTCTCTTTAAACATTTAGTTTTCTAAATATTAACAAAGGAAAAAAAGGAAACAAAAATTTGTTTTAAAAGACATTTATGATATGAAGAAGTCTCAAAACTCAACAGTAAACAATCTGATTAGAACAGAAGCAAAAAATATGTATAGGCATTTCACTGAAAGGTCATATGGATCGCAAATAAACACATGAAAAGATCTGCAACATCATTAGCCATTAAGGAAATGCAAGTTACAATGAAATACCACTATACGCCTAACAGGATGGCCAAAATGGAGAACAGTGACAACAACAAACTCTGGCAAAGACATAGAAAAGCCAGATCACTCATGTAACATTTGTAGGAATAGAAAATAATATAGCCACTTTGGAAAATAATTGGGAAATTTCTTGTAAAACTAAGCACGTACTTCTCATATGACCTGGCAATTATGCTCTTGGATATTTATCCCAGAAAAATTAAAACCTACATTCACTAAAATCTATACATAAATGTTCATAACAGCTTTATTTGTGATAGTCAAAAACTGAAAAAAATCCAAATCTCCTTCAACAGATCCAGGACATTACACATTCCTTTTATTTCTGTGTAGTATTTCATGTTATAGATGAACTACAGCTTAATCACTGATAGCAAAGCAGGATGAACTGGGCCAAATGAGTATGTAAGTATTTTTACTCTTTGTCAGAAGAAGTAGTAAGATATGTAGATTTCTTTTTTCTTCTCAGTCCTAAGAACAATGCCACTTATAATTCTTTTTTTTTTTTTTTTTACAAATACTTTATTGTCAAGTTGGTTTCCATATAACACCCAGTGCTCATCCCCACAAGTGCTTTCCTCCATGGCCATCTCCCCCCTCCCACACCCATCAGTCCTCAGTTTGTTCTCAGCATTCAAGAGTCTCTCATGGTTTGCCTCTCTCCCTCTCCCCCACTATTTCCCCCTTTCTTCTCCCCCATGGTCCTCCGTTAAGTTCCTCCTAATCCTCCTATACGTGCAAACATATGGTATCTGTCCTTCTCTGCCTGACTTATTTCGCTCAGCATAACACCCTCAAGGTCCATCCATGTTGCTACACATGGCCAGATTTCATTCTTTCTCATTGCCATGTAGTATTCCATCATATAGATAAACCACATCTTCTTGATCCATTCGTCCGTTGATGGACACTTAGGCTCTTTCCATGTTTTGGCTATTGTGGAGAGTGCTGCTATGAACATTGGGGTCCGGGTGCTCCTATGCATCAGCACTCCTATATCCCTAGGGTAAATTCTTAGCAGTGCTATTGCTGGGTCATAGGGGAGTTCTATTGTTAATTTTTTGAGGAACCTCCACACTGTTTTCCAGAGGGGCTGCACCAGTTTACATTCCCACCAACAGTGTAGGAGGGTGCCCGTTTCTCCACATCCTCGCCAGCATCTAGAGTCCTCTTTTGCTAAATTTTAGCCACTCTGACTGGCGTGAGGTGGTATCTCAGTGTGGTTTTGATTTGTATTTCCCTGATGAGGTGGGATGCTGAGCATCGTTTCATATGTCTGTTAGCCATCTGGATGTCCTCTTTGGAGAAGTGTCTGTTCATATCTTCTGCCCATTTCTTCACTGGGTCGTTTGTTTTTCGGGTGGCCACTTATAATTCTTAAAGGTCTTGCTTAGATTGGGATTTATTTCCACCAGCAGAGTTGTCATCACTGATTTGACATTGTATTTATTGATATTATTTAATTTTCAACTGTGTATAATTACTACTTTTCCGATCTAAGGAGTTTCTGTGTTCCCAAGATCTGAACTGATAGACAATTATTACTGCCATTCTAACAAATGGGGTCTGTTGACCTTAAATTATACAAAACTGTTTCCGGAATCTATTGTGTTCTTATCATGTGTTGTATCATTTAGTGCCTCTGTCATGAAGTATTACAGAATACATTTCTCTGAGTCTAGTACTAGGGGCAGCTTGCAGGAAGCCCTGGCCCCTCTGTGCCTACGTCTGGCAGAGCCAGCGTGAGACAAAGAGACAATCCTTCCCTGTGCCTAGATAATCAAGAGTTTGGTCTAGCCTTTGAGCACCCCCTGAGAAAGTTAAGGACCAGAAAACAAGTGCAGGTTATGGTACTGAAATGGATTAATAATAAACTTAGTGATTTGCCCCATGGCCCTCTAGCATAATGTTTTGCAAGTCCAGTTGAGAAGATATGTTTCATTAGCAAGTGACAATTATGGGACCTAATAATAGCCCATATTGAGGCAGTGTATTCTTTTTGACAATTCATTTTCCTATAGACTACTCCTTGAAGCCATCTAAGGTTGCATTTGCAACAATAATTTATCAATCAATATTTATTAAATATTATAGTAATGGTAGCATTTGCCTTGATATTCTAAGATCACAGTGATAACCTGCTTTAATTATTTTTAAAGTTGCTTTATCTATTTGCTCACTGTTATATGATCCAGACCCAGATGACACTCTAATGGCAGAGATTGCATGGATCTACAAAATAGAGAGAGTACAACAGAGTATCTTGGAAATGGACTCAGAAGTATGCCATGAGATGCTCCTTTAAAGTTAGAATAGCCTGCATTATAGCTGAGTAAACTTTAAATTACTATTCCTTTTTTGATTTTCTTACCTGGTTACTCTCTTATCAGACTACATCTTTTAAAATGTTATTGTTTATCTCCCTCCATTCATTTACACGCTAATCTGACAAAGACTTTAAGTTCTTCCAGTTTGGGACAACAACTGCTTTTAGAAACTATAGTTATTAGGAAACAGTTGCCCAAAATTCAGAATTTTTTTAAAAAAAGGAACATGGGTACTATATGGCCTATGTCTTCACTCTAACTTGGTTATGGGACTAAAACCATCCCTCAGTGCTCTAACACACTGAAGAAATCACCTGAGGGGAGGGAGATGGATGCTTGCTTGTCACATCAAAGGAAGCAGCATTATTCAAGTATCAATTCTTTTTTAAAGCCTTCTCCTGTTAGAGATACTTTATGCTCAAAACTATGTGACTTGGTGGGGGGTTGCCTGGGTGGATCAGTTGGTTAGGGGTCCAACTTCGGTTCAGGTCATGATCTTATGGTTCCTGTATTCAAGCCCTGCATTGGGGTCTGTGCTGACAGCTGGGAGCCTGGAGCCTGCTAAGGATTTTGTGTCTCCCTCTCTGTCCCTCTCTTACTTGCACTCTGCCTCTTTCTCTCTCTCTCTCAAAAATAAATAAACATTGAAGAAGAACCCTTATGTGACTGGAGAATTGGTATTAATTTATGGCATCAGCATAACAGAAAATGTGATGTATTTTATGCATGTTAATAAAGGAATGACATGTTCTTATTCTACAGACAAAGGAAACTGGAAGACAAATAAACTTTGTATTCCAAAATGGGGGTCTCAAACATTTTAAAATTTTCATTTAAATTGTTAGGAGACTTGGAGCTATTAGTTAATCTATCTTCAAATATACCATTTAATACAGCATTGAATAAATGATACAAGTTGTCAATGGATGAGTAATCAACTAATAGCTTTGCTAGTAACTGATTTATTTTTCTTCAATAAAATTGTACAAACTGAAAAAAAAAAAGCTTAGTACTAGGAAAATGTCTGTCTTTCTAAAAAATTGGAATGTTTATTGTTATTTCACAATGAAAGATATACTGACCATTATATGCTTCTTTTTGTTGATTGTCCAGCAAGCTCGGACCTAGGTTTTGTGCTCAACTACTGATACTTTCTGTAACTTAGGTTTTATAAGAATTTTCTACCCTCAAACCTAAAAATCACTCAACCCATGTTTTAAGCCACACTTCATAGCATTATTGCATGCCTTTTTATTATAAATCTCTTCAAAATTTTTGGAAATGGATAGATATAAATATTAAAAGAGTAAAGAAATAAACATTAGCAAATAAGAATAAAGTGTCTGTCTACCTTTGAAGATTTCTTCTTCTCCTTGGAGCGTTTTTGATTTGATACTGACATTAAAATTCTACTCATTTCAAGTCCAGTTTGAAGCTATAATATTAAAGAATGAGCTTTATAAAAATGATTTTTAATAAGGTCTTCAAAGACATTATAATAAGAAATCAGATCTCAGTTTCTTCCTTTTTGAGGAAGAAAATGCCAAATACTATTTTTTTGTATGTGAAAGCTACTAAGTCTATAGGTAATTACAAGCATTTTCTATTTATAAGAGAATGTGTTACTTAATACATATGTGTCAATCAAACAGAAAACAATCTATATCAGGAAATCTTTCATATATATGTCAAAATTTCAAAAGACTACAAGACCGCTTTTGGCGGTGCATCTAAGTATATAAATATACTGGCTGACTTACTAAGAATTTCATTAGTGTAGCAAAAAGAGACAAAACTAACAAGCAAGGAAGCAGAAATTATAGGCTTCAGATAATAAAAACAAAGTATGATAAATACTGTGTGGTTTATTTTGATAAATAATATAATGCTCTATTTACTTCAGATGCTTTGTCTTGAAATAGCTTACGCTGATGTTCTTCTTCCTTAAGTTTTTCTTCTAAATGTTTAATCTTGTCCTGCAAAAGAACAAAAAAAAACGGGTTGTTATATAAAAACTAGAGTCAAATATCCTTTGTTCTTTTTCCAAACAGAGTCTTTGGAGTCTTGGTTCTTAATAGTTCAGCAAATTAAAGCAGAAAGAAAGAAAAATAAATGGCAAAAGATGCTAAGATTTTTCCTGGCTTCCTTCCGATGCTTTACCTGCTGTTACATAAAAGAAGAACAAAGGGAAAACAAAGAATGCACATGCAAAGACATTATTAACTTCTAGCAACAAGACTGTAATGATGAAACTTTTGAGGTCTAGGAAGTCAGACAATTACAGCTTGGGTCTCAGTGTTTCATTCAAAACATAAGACAAATCACAGTAAATTTCTACTGTGTGCATATTATAAGGATGCAGTTGTTGGTGGAGGGAATGGATAGGAAGACATTAATATAATATATGGAATGTATCAAAATAAAAAGCTTTTGTCCAGTGAAGTGAAACAATCAACAAAACTAAAAGGCAACCTACAGAATGAGATAAGGTATTTGCCAATGATATATCTGATAAAGGGTTAGTATCCAAAATATACAAAGAACTTATAAAACTCAACATCACAAAAATGAATAATCCAATTAAAAATGGGTAGAAGACATGAATAGACAGTCTTCCAAAGGAGACATCCAGATGACCACAGACACATGAAAAGATGTTCAATATCACTGATCATCAGGGAAATGCAAATCAAAACCAGAATGAGATATCACCTCACACCTGTCAGAATGGCTAAAATCAACACCCAAGAAACAACAGGTGTTGGCGAGGATGTAGAGAAAGGGGAACCGTCTTGCACTGTTGGTAGGAATGCAAACCGGTGGAACCACTCTGGAAAACAGTATGGAGTTTCCTCAAAACTTAAATATAAGGGCGCCTGGGTGGCCCAGTCACTTAAGCATCTGACTCTGGCTCAGGTCATGATCTCTCAGTTCATGGGTTCGAGCCGCACACTGGGTTCTGTGCGGATTGCTCAGAGCCTGGAGCCTGCTTCAGATTCTGTGTCTCCCTCGCTCTCTGTCCCTCCCCAGCTTGCAGTCTGTCTCTTTCTCTCTCAAAAATAAACATTAAAAAAAGAGCTAAAAATTGAACTACCCAGCAATTGCATTACTAGGTATCTAACTAAAGAATAAAAAAATACTAATTCAAAGGGATACATGCACCCCTATGTTTATAGCACCATTATCTGTAATAGCCAAATTATGGAAACAGTCCAAAGTGTCCATGACTGATTAATGGATAAAGATGTGGTATTTGTACACACACACACACACACACACACACACACACACAGGAATTTTACTCAACTATAAAAAAAGAATGAAATCTTGCCATTTGCAATAATGTGGACAGAGCTAGAGAATTATAATGCTAAGTGAAAAAAGTCAGTTAGAGAAAGACAAATACCGTATGATTTCACTCATATGTTGAACTGAAGAAATAAAACGGGTGCCTGGGTGGCTCAGTTGGCTGAGCAGCTGACTCTTGATTTCAGCTCAGGTCATGATAACATGGTTTGTGAGATGGGCCCTGCATCAGGCTCTGCATTGATAGTGTGGAACTTGGTTGGGATTTTCTCTCTCCCTCTCTCTCTCTGCTCCGCCCTTGCTTTATCTCTTTCAAAATAAACTTAAAAAAAAAAAAATAAAACAAATGAACGAAGAAAAAAAGACACAAAGTAAAAAATAGGCTCTTGGGGAGCCTAGGTGGCTCAGTTGGTTGAGCACCTGACTCTTGATTTTGGCTCAGGTTGTGATCCCAGGGTTGTGGGATTGAGCCCCATGATAGGATCCAACCTGGGCATAGAGCCTGCTAGATTTTCTTTCTCTCTCTCCCTCTGCCTCTCTCCCCTGCTAGCACACACTCTCTCTAAAAAATAAATAAATAAACTTTAAAAATTTAAAAAAAATAGACTCTTAAGTATAGAGAACAAAATGATGGTTACTGGAAGAGAGATCAGTGGAGGGATTGGTTAAATAGGTGATAGGGATTAAGGAATACATTTGTTGTGACAAGCACCAGCTGATATATAGAACTGCAGAATCACTATATTGTATACCTGAAACTAATATTACACTGTATGTTAATTAACTGAAGTTTAAATAAAACCTTTTAAAAAAAAGGAAAACAATGTATGGTAATGGATGTTAACTAGACTTACTGTGGTGATAATTACATTGTATACCTGAAACTAATATAATGTTTTTTTCAATTATACCTAAATTTTTAAAAAATGAAAAAAAAAGCATAAGGTATGTTCCTTGTTATTTAACAGCTTAAACTGTATGTAAGGAAACAAAAGTTATATGAAACAATTAAACAACAAAACAATGAATATAATTTGACTCACACCATATACACACTCATACATATATATATGTATTTCATCTTATATCCATGGTATGGTTCAGAGTATGAATATAGTACTATTTCAAAGAGCATTTCAATGCTCTCCTGAGCACTGGAGAACTCAAGAAAGACTCCATAGAGGAAGAGGACATGAAGAAGGTCCTATGAAAGGAAGAAAATTTAGTTGGGAAAAGGAGAGGGCATTTCTGGATGGCATATAGGATAGACTTAACTGCAAGTGGTGAAAATCAATCTTTTCAATATCCTTTAGGCAAATTACCTGACTAATGAAAATGTTGTACCATTTTAGAAGAAGCCAAAATTACAATTTGACATCAAAAGGCAGGCTCATTCATGCCATGACAGAAGCATTAACTTTTTATCTCCACAGGCAGAAAATCATATCTGGATTTCTAAGAGCTGTTAAAGAAGTTTTATAAATCAGATTTACTGTATATTCACATACAGGGCCAATAATGCTTAATACTAAAGATTTATTCCTGGCATCATCACTTCAAAGGAATAAGTGGCAACTTACCTCAGCAGTTTTCTGAGTTGTTGTAAGTTTAAAACATTCTTTTTCTAAGACATCAAGCTTTTCAAGTTTTGCTTGCAGCTTCATATGATCTTGTTCTTTTTCCCTTTGAAGCTGGGCCTGGAAAGGATAAAAACAAAACCTGAATTTGGCAAGTAATACCAAGGGCTCAAGAATAATACAACTTCTGAGAATTAAAGCACAATAAATCTGTCACAAGAAACATGTATATACATGTACATACTTCATGTGCTTGCAAATAAAAAACAAAAAAAAAAACTTTTAAAGAACATAATATACCCAAAAAATGAGCTATATTAGCATCAACAAAACAAACGCTTCTATGTATATTTATATAACATTTCTAGTAAGGAAAACATCATCAGTGAACCATATATTAAATATACTGTTATTTGTAAGGTGACCAAACCCACATATTGATTTATCTTTTAATTATAACACAGAAAAGCAGCTATCAGAGAAATAAAGCATATAGAGAAACTGGAGAAAAGGAAAGTAATGCATATATTTTCACATGTATACATTGTTTTGTAATGGTTATTTATTACCACACTAATGAAGGTACTAAAAATAGGGGCAACTGTGAGGAGGCAGGGGTATATGAGAACTTTCTATACTATCTGCTCAAATTTCTATAAACAATACTGCTCTGAAGAATAAAGTATGGGGGTGCCTGGGTGGCTCAGTCGGCTAAGCGTCCAACTTCAGCTCAGGTCATGATCTCACGACTTGTGGGCTCAAGCCTGCTTCTAATTCTGTGTCTCCCTCTCTCTGCCCCTCCCCTGTTCACATTCTGTCTCTCTTTCTCAAAAATAAAAAAACCCGGAAACACAAAAAAGAATAAAATATATTTAAAAACAAAAAACTGAAACAATCAATAAACAGTTTCAGTGACCAGTGGTCTAATATTCAATTGGCATTACAGAGGGAGAGGAGAGAAGAATTATTCAGACAAAAATAATTATTTGAAGGATAATGGCTAAAATGTTTCCATTTTTTTAAATGTTTATTTATTCTTGAGAGAGAGAAAGACAGAGAGATTGAGCATGAGATGGGGAGGGGTAGAGAGAGAGGGAGATACAGAATCTGAAGCAGGGTCCAGGCTCTGAGCTGTTAGCACAGAGCCTGATGCGGGGCTTTGAACTCACAGACTGCGAGATAATGACCTGAACCAAAGTTGGATGCTTAACTGACTTAGCCAGCCAGGTGCCCCCCAAATTTTCCAAATTTGATGAAAAATATTAATAGACAGATTTGAGAATAATAATAATAAATTAAAAAACTGAAGCAGAGTAAGTATGAATAAAACCATATTTGGGCACATCATTATCAAATTGTTGAAAATCAGTGATAAAGGGAAAACCTTAAAAGCTGTCTGAGAAATGATGATTCATTATGCACAGAGGAATAAAGATAAGAATTATCATTAGAAACTATGAAATTTAGAAGACAATTGAGACATCTTTAATGTGTTGAGAGAACAAAAGCTGTCAACTAGAATTTTATATCCTGTGAAAATATCCTTCACCAATAATAGTGAAGTAAGGTCTTTTCCAGAAAAACATATGTTAAAAGAGAATTCTCAGCATACTTTTAAAGGAAGTACTTTGAACTGAAGGAAATGACACCAGACATAAAACCAAATCTATACAAAGAAATAAAAAACACTAAAATGGTAAAGATGTGAATAGATACATATTTCATCTTGTTTCTTTAAGTTTTCTTTAAAGGACAACCTTTTTTAAAGCAAAAATAATAATGGTGTATTATGAGTTTTATAATATGCAGAAATAAAATGTATGAAAACTGTAGCACAAAGGGGACAAGTGGAAGCACACTGTAGTAAGGATTGTTATTATACTGAAATGTTTTAATACTAATTCATAGCTGATTGGTTTAGTTAAGAACACATACCTTAACCTGTACAGCAGCTACTTAAAAGAGGAGAAGTACCAGAAGGAAGAGAAGTCAATAAAATTTAAAAAGAAATCACTAGAGAAGTTGGAAAACATTTTTTTGGCTGAATGACAACAAAAATACAAAACATCTTGGGTGCCTGGGTGGCTCAATCGGTTGACTGTTCTACTCGGCTCAGGTCATGATTCCAGAGTTGAGGGATCAAGCGCTGTATCAGTTTCCATGCTGAGCCTCCTTAAGATTCTCCTTCTCTCTCCCCACCCCCTACACTACCCCCTCTCCCTGGCTCATGCTCTCTCAAATTAAAAAAAAAAAAGCAAAACATCAAACTCTGTGGGACATAAGTAAAGCAGTTTAGAGGGAACTCAATAGCTTTCACCATAAAATGCAACATTTAAAAGAATAAAAGTTTTAAATCAATAGGGAAGGAAATAATAAAATAGAACTCAATTAAGTCGAAAATAAACCAAAAAAATTAAAAATAAAAAAAGTTTTTTTTGAAACAGATGTAGGGGGAGAGAAGAAAAAAGAAGATAAAAACAGAGAGGTTAGGCAAACCACTAGAGATGCTTAAATACACAGGACAAACTGAAGGTTGCTGGAGGGGAGGATGGGCTAAATAAGGAGGATGTTTGCTGGGATGAGCACTTCCTGTTATACGTAAGTGATGAATCATTAAATTATATTCTTGAAACCAATACTACACTGTATGTTAACTAACTGGAATTTAATTTTAAGAAAAGGAAAAAAAATAAAAAAAATGCTTTCTCCAAGAAAAAGTTGTTTTTTTGAAAAAAAATCAATAAAATTTAGAGAAGTGATAGGTAGACTGATAATTTTTAAAAGAGCAACATAATAAATTAGCAATATCAGAAATGAAAGAAGGGACATGTCTAAAGACACAAAAAGAAACAGAAAATCTAAGTAGCCCTATATCTGTTAATACATTGAATTCGTAATTTAAAAACTGTCCACAAAGAATACTCTAGTTCCAGACCACTTCTATCAAATTTGAATCTATCAAACATTTAAGGAATAAATAACACTAGTCTTACATAGGGTCATTCAGAAAACAGAAGAAGGGATCTTTCCAAGTAATTTTATGGCCAACAAAATCATGACACCAGAACTACACAGACATTATGAGAAAATTACAAAGATCCTTTACAGACATAGTCATAAAAATACTTAAGCAAAATTTTAGCAAACTGAATCAAGCTATGTAGAGTGTAGACATGTAGAATGTAGAAAAAAAATAATACATCAAAATCACTTGGTGTCCACACCAAGAATGCGATATCCATTAATGTTTGAAAATCAAACAATGTAACTTACCATATTAACAGAATAAAAGAGAAAAATCATGTGCCCCTTTTGTTAGGTGCAGAAAAAGCAATTAACAAGATTCAATATTCACTCATGATAAAAACTTCTGGCAAACTAAGAATAGAAGGCAATTTCCACAACTTGATATGGGAGAGATATGAATAGCCTATAGATAAGATTATAATTAATAGTGAGAGACTGGCATCTTTTGCATTATAAAATGCAAAGATCAGAAACAAAGCAAGGACAAAGTCCTTACCACTTCTACTTAAAAGTGTATTAGCTGTAACAACCAGTGCAGTAAGGTGGAAAAAAGAAATAAAAGCCATAATAATTGGAAAAGAAGAAAATTGTCTTTATTCACAGATGGCATGACTGTGTATACTGAAAATCCCTAAAAAGTTGAAAACTACTAGAATAAACAAATTAACAAGACTACAGGATATAAAGTCACACAAATATCAATTCTTCTAGTAATAGAAAAGTGAGGGAAAAATTATACAGTTCATAATAGCATTAAGAAAACATTAAATTCTTAGAGATAAATTTAACAAAAGTTGTGTAAGACCTCTCATTAAAAACTACAAACCATGAAGAGAAAGACTGAACTAAATGGAGAATTATACTATGTTCATGGATTTGAAAGATTAGATATTTTTGAGACGTCAATTTTCCTCCAAATGATCTCCAGATTTAACAAGAGCATAGTCAAAATCTAGGAGACTTATTTTTTAGAAAATGCCAGATTGATCATAAAATGCATATAGAAGTGCAAAAGATCTATAATAACCACAACAATCTTCAAAAAGAACAAAGTTAGAAGATTCACATTATTTGACATCACAAGACTTATTATAAAGCTACATGGTATACAGGGTCCCAGAAACAGACTTTATCTATACAGTCAATCAACTGTAGACAAAGGTGCCAAAACAATTCAATGGGAGAAAGTAAAGTCTTGTAATGAGTGGTGCTGGAACAAGTAGACATCCACATAGAAAGAAATGTAACCTTCAACATTTTCTCTCACCATACAAAAGTTAATTTCAGATGGGTCAGAGAAAAATGCAAACTATTAACTTCTAAAGAAAATATTTTGGAAAACAGTTTAGAAGTTTCTTATAAAGTTAAATATGCACCTACTCTGTGGCACAACTTCACTACTAGATATTTACCCCAAAGAAATAAAACATACATCCACAAAAGATTTGTTCACAGTAGCTTTATTCATCATATCCCAAAACAGAAAACAAGCCAGATGTCAATCAAAAGAAAAACAAATCAACAAATCATGGCATATCTATGTAATAAAATTCTATAAGCAATAAAAAACTATTGATACAGACAACAACATGGACTAATCTAAAAAACTTTATGCTAAACAAGAGAGTATATTTCCTATGATCCAATTATATGAAATTCTAAGATAGGCAAAAACTCTAAGGCAAAATAAATCAGCACAGTAGTTTCCTTGTTGGGAAGTGAGGAGAAAGCAGGAAATATCTTGACAGAGATATGAATTTCTATTATCTAATAGGACTGTGGATTATATACTTATCAATAATCACTAAACTCTACACCTAAGATCTGTGCATTTCATATATAAATTATACCTCAAAAACATTTAAAAAGCTGTTAAAAGTCACTGATCAACAATATTTAGCTATGATAAGAATTTCAAGGTTATTTTATAAGATAAAATAACTGAACTTCATAAAGTGATTGTTCTTCTGGTTGTTGTACCTTATTTACACAACTCAGAATTGTCACTTTTACATTTTTTCCAATCTGGTGGATGTGAAACAGTATCTTGTTGGGCTTTCAATTTGCATTTTCCTAGTTACTAATGCGAATGA